CCCCCCTGTTCTTTTTTTTTTTTTTAAACAACTTTGGTGGTGGTGGTGAGGTCACAAATTCAATTAGCATTTTAGGGGGTCGCAGTATCACAAAGTTTGAGAACCCCGATGTAACTGATTACAATTTTACAAGTGACAGTATTTTTTAACCTGCTGCCAAGCAGAGCCGGTAGTAGGAATGGGCTCTCCTGGGGCCAGGGATCTCTCGTGAGGTCTGCCGGGAGTGGCCACAAGAACTGTTGGCCAATGGGAACTCCCAGCAGCCGCACATGTGACTGTAGAGCCCTGGGGAGATGTGGTGCTAACATCAGCTCCAAGCCCTTTCCCTGCTCTGTGCAGTGTGAGGGGAGTGAGAGCCACATACCTACTCAGGGTGCTTCTGACGTCCTAGAAAAAAAAGACACAGAAAAGAATCTCAGCCCTATTGGACACACAGGGGATCTTAGGGAAGGGATTTTGCAAACCTGGGAAGAGAGGCCCTGCTCTGGCCCCAGGAACATGGATCCTCTGAGCAAATAGGGCTTTGCCATCTCTAATAGCTCTGTGCCTGTAACTCTACAAAGCACAAGAGACATTCACAGGGCAGCAATGCACAAGGTGTTACGCTGAGATCTGACAGCTGGGCTCCAGCAGTTGTGATTCAGGAGCCTCCCTTCCCTACATGGGGAGCTGGGATGTTTCTCCCTCAGTCTCACCTGCAGGAATTCACTTGCTGGCTGCTGACACGTCCCCTCCAGCTCACCGATCCGCTCGCTGAGACGGGAAATCTGCACGGAGAGTTTCCTGAAAGTGTCAGTCTCGAACCTCCCCATCTCCTCATCGAACTTCTCCAGCTGGGCCAGCAGGAGTTGCTCTTGTTCCTCCAGGAACTGCCGCAGCTGCTGAAACTCAGCCACAATCTTCTGCCTCTTGGCTTGGGTCCATTTCTGTGTGAAAACAGGGAAAGGGCTGGTCAGAGGCATGGATGGAGGCCCGGGCCCTTTCATGGGGAGCTGAGTGCGCAGCAGAAGAATTTCTTGGAAAACCCTAACATTTGTGACATTTGACTCTACGTTGTGATTACTAGGCAGAGGCGTCTCTCTCAGCATCTCCTTTGGCCCGTGTCCCTCTGAAAGCGATGTTTTGTTATTCATGGGCTCTGGGAATTCAGATCCAGAGCAGCAGGAGGCAGGACTCAGCATCAGCCTGACAGATACCCACGGAGGAAAAAGAAGCAAACATGTTAATGCACCACGTGAGCGGACAGCCCTTCTGGGGCACATTCAGCTCCCTTGGAGAAGAAGTCTGGGAAAGCCACAAAGGCTGGACATTAACTTGTGCGCTGACTTGGATGCTCAGGGACTGTCTACAAATGGATCTCAGATAGCAATCCATGATCCAGGAGAAACACAAACAAACCCAACCTCACCAAGGCCACACAGGAGTCTGCCTCCTAACACAGCCTTCCCACTGCCAGTCCCTGCTGGTCTATAGCCACAAGCACCTACCAGATACTCCTGTCTTTTCCCTTCTGCTGTTGTTTTCCTTCTCAGCACCTTTTCTCTCTCCTCCCTCAGAGTCTTCAAGTGGGCCTCCAATTTTTCCTGAAGAAATAGAAATCAGCATGAGGGCAAACCCTATCAGATGTTGGGAGCCCCTTTGTCTGCCTTTAAGAGAGTCCCAGTTTTGTGGAGTTCTGCCTCTGTCCAGCACAGACTCAGCCTGAACGTGGCTTTGTCCATAGAAAAAGACAAAGGAGGAGACTGCGGATGCAGCAGGACACCTGCAAGGGTGGTGGCACCTTCGTAAAGAACGATGCAGGTGGTTAACAACACTAATCATGTAACCCAGCATTTCTCAAATTGTGGGTTGCGACCAACTTACGGGGGGTCACAGCTGGATCCGTTGTTTTTTTTTTTTATTTTGGTTGGTTGTGTTTTTTTTCCATTTGTGTCTTCCCGGCATCTCCGGACACTGCCCGGTCAATTTTCCCCTACCACGTCTGGCGGGGGAGTGAGAAGCGCCGCAGAATCAAGTGAAGAAGGCAAGGAGGAGAAGGGGGCAGTTACCGGGTGCCGGGCTGGGTGGCACCTGACCAGCAGAGACCAACAGCTGGCCACGTGATGCTTCTCCTGCAGCTGCCAGCTGAGGCAGCGGGCCAGCGGCAGAAGCAGATGCTTTAAAAAGTAAGATTCTTCCTCCATGCCTGGCTCTGCGAGGGGAGGGAGGAGATTTGATTGGTGCACTGCTCTACATGCTGAGGATGCCTGCCTCAAGGGGAGAGGGGAGTGCACTGGGATGGGACGGTGCTGGGGGGGGCTTGGCTCAGGGGAGGGGTGGGTGCAGTCACAAACTGGACAAAGTGGTGCAACTTTTGCTTAACAACTTTGGCTCCCACCCCCCACCTTTTTTTTTTTTTTATGGCCCCCCTGTTCTTTTTTTTTTTTTTAAACAACTTTGGTGGTGGTGGTGAGGTCACAAATTCAATTAGCATTTTAGGGGGTCGCAGTATCACAAAGTTTGAGAACCCCGATGTAACTGATTACAATTTTACAAGTGACAGTATTTTTTAACCTGCTGCCAAGCAGAGCCGGTAGTAGGAATGGGCTCTCCTGGGGCCAGGGATCTCTCGTGAGGTCTGCCGGGAGTGGCCACAAGAACTGTTGGCCAATGGGAACTCCCAGCAGCCGCAGACTGATGTTAGTTGCCAGAGGCAAGCAGGCACTGCTGGGGCAGTGGGGAGTTTAACCAGTAACTGGCACTGACAAACATTAGCAGTTAACCAATTTGAACTCTTGCTACAATCCAACTGAATTCTAGTTGTATCTAGCATGGACCTGCACTTCCTGAAGCCCTGGATGTAACTGATTACAATTTTACAAGTGACAGTATTTTTTAACCTGCTGCCAAGCAGAGCCGGTAGTAGGAATGGGCTCTCCTGGGGCCAGGGATCTCTCGTGAGGTCTGCCAGGGGTGACCACAAGAACTGCTGCTGGCCAATGGGAACTCCAAGCAGCTGCAGACTGATGTTAGTTGCCAGAGGCAAGCAGGCACTGCTGGGGCAGTGGGGAGGTTAACCAGTAACTGGCACTGACAAACATTAGCAGTTAACCAATTTGAACTCTTGCTACAATCCAACTGAATTCTAGTTGTATCTAGCATGGACCTGCACTTCCTGAAGCCCTGCTATGGGCCCCACACAGCATCCAGCCCAGCAACCTCATCTACTGCCAGTTCATGCATCGATGTTTAACCCCCAGAAGTTCAGCTTCCCAGTGGAAAACCTCTTCTCCCTGCTGGGCCTAGGGTTTTATCAAGGCATCTTTCTCTAACAGCCACTCTTCATCACTGTTCAGTGATGCTGAGGGGCAGGGAGCAGTGTAGTCTAACAGTTGAACCAGGGTTCAGGACTAAATGCTATCCCTGATGTGTTTGGTGACTATGAGCAACTTGCTGCCCCACAGTTCGTCTAACTGGACTGTGACCTGCTCAGAGCAGGGACTTTTCCTGGCTGGGTGTTGTGCAGGGCCCAGATGCCATTATGGATCTATAAGGCAAATGACAGATTATTGTTCCTGTTCATCCAATCAGTAACAGCTTGTAACCTCCTCTTCTTCAGTCCCAAGGCAGCTCACTGCCAGAGTGGCCTGTAGCTTCTGCAATCTAAACTTCTCTGATTGTTAACATTTTCCCTTGTGCAAACACTCCTCCTGTCACCAGTGAGGGCTAGGTTTCAGGATTCAGAGTGTCAGAGAAACATTTCCCACATCAGGTATCTGTAAAGACTTGATGTAAGTTGCCCCACAGCCAGAGCACTTACTTTTTACAGCAACTCTTGTACCATCAGGGATTTACAGAGTTGTTTCACACCTGTGCCCAGTAACAGTCCGTGAAATTAGACTATAATTAAAACCCAATGTTATTTCCCATCACAGTGGACAGCAACTCTGTACCTTGTACTCCTGAGCAGCTTCCTGTAAGAGCACCACCATGTGAGCTTGGGATCTGTCACACACCATAGAGATGGGAGTTTTATCCTCTTCGCAGAACAGCTTCAGAGCTTCCTGGTGCTCCCCACACACCCTGCCCCATGTTGCTCTCTTTGCTGCATGGAAACTCAGTGGCTTGGCTAGTTCCACCACGTTTGCCAGCTGCCGGTTGGACCGGAGGGGTTCCTGCTGCTCAGTGTCTCTGCCCTGAAGGCTGAGGAGGGCCTGGCAGAAATTGTGCCCACACTCCAGAGTGACGGGGGCTGTGAAATCCTCCAGAAAGACGGGACGCGCCGCTTCTTCCCAGACACTTTGCCCGGGACCCTCTGCAGCCATGGCTGCCTCTGGGCTGGGGGACAGGGGACGTGTCACTTCCCTGAGCTCAGCAATGGAGGGGCAGGTCCAGGGGGCGGCTGTCTGAGGCACCAGCACTGAGGATACAAAAAAAATCAAAAAATAAAAACCAAAAAATCCCCCAAAGCTTTCAATATGCATACTTTTGACTTCATGAGGTAAAACCAAGTTTCTTGTTTTCTGGGCCTTCCAATGAGGATCTGTTGCTGTTTTTATTTACTTCAGATGAAAGCATAGATTGTTCTAAATAGAATTTTCATCTACATATTTTCTCAAATCAATGGATCATTTTAATTTTTCTTCTAATTGGGCAACAGCATTAAATACTATGGGAAAAAATTAGAATAAAAATTTCAAAACCACCTCAGTGTACTACTGTACTGCCATATCTCCCTCCTTCCTTCAGGGAAGCAAATCTGACACTCCTGGTCAACTGACTCAGGCTCATAGGCTACATCTACACTGCAGGAGTTTTGTGCAAGAACTGTTTTGTGCAAGAGTTCTTGCACAAAAGATCTTGTGCAAGAGTGTGTCCACACTGTGATGTGCTTTTGCGCAAGAGATGTGCTTTTGCGCAAGAGCGTCCATGGCAGTGTGGAGGCTCTTTTGCGCAAGAAAGCTCTGATGGCCATTTTAGCCAGAGGGGTTTCTTGCGCAAGAAACCCCTGTTGCCCAGCCACACTGCCTTCTTGTACAAGGCATTCCTCATGGGGAGAGGAATAACTCTTGCACAAGAAGCCTTCTGTTCCAATGCTTTACTGTAAGTTTACTTGCGCAAGAATGCACGTGCAGTGTAGAACATCTCTTCTTGCACAAAAAGCCTTCAGTGTAGGAGCAAAAAGCCATAGAGTTCACTCTCCAGGGGGTAAAAAGAGCAATGTATCTCTTTCTGCTTAGGCTGGGGCCTGGCTCTGAGACCTGACAAGTTGGAAAGGAGGACTAGTTACGTCCCAGGATCCAGCCTGAGTAGAAACAGCTAAGCCACTATTTTAAGCCCTGTAGCTCAAGTCCCATATGTCCCAGTCTGTTGACCTGAGTTCTGAGACATGCTACTGTGGGACAGGGGTGGGGTATAGGTTTACCCTGAGTGACTTAAATATTTAAGATTCCTTGGCCTAGGTGAGAATCAGTCACCATTTGAGGAGTCAGACCTAAATCACTTTTGAAAATGGGACTTTAGTTCCTAGGTCACAATGGAGGGGAAAGATGGCTGAATCCATCTCTGATTATACAATTTATATTTAATGAAGGCAAAAGCTGGTATCCAGTTGTTACTGTGTCGTTATTTAATGAACAGAATATAAGCATATTCACACAGGCTACGTCTACATTGGCAAGATTTTGCGCAAATACTTTTAGGGAAAAGTATTTCCATTAAAAGTATTTACGCAAGAGAGTGTCTACACTGGCACGGATGCTTTGTGCAAAGAAAGCTCGGATGGCCATGGGCTTTCTTGCGCAATAAACTAACTTGGCTGTCTACACTGGCCCTCTTGCGCAACAGGGCTTATCCCTGAGCGGTAGCATCAGAGTATTTGCGCAAGAAGCACTGATTTTGTACAGTACAAAGTCTCTGTTCTTGCACAAATACTGTGGCCAGTGTAGACAGGCGGCAAAATCATGCCAGTCTAGACACAGCCCGAGAGCAAAGCCCCAGCGCGGGCAGGGCAGGGGGGTTAAAGCAGCGTCCCCAGTGGGAATGAGGCACAAATCAAAGAATGGCCCTGGGGGCTTTTTTATTTGCTTAAACCAGTGGTCTCCAACCTTTTTACACCCAAAATCACTTTTTAAGTCTCAGAACAGGCAAAGATCTACTGCCCTGCCCCTTCCTTGAAGCCCTACCCTCTCTATTCTCCTGTCCATCACTTGCTATCTGCAGCCCTTATACACTGTTAAACAGTTTATTTTTAAATTATGCAATATATAAAATTTAAATCACATGTTTATAGTTATGAAATAAATGGTCTGTTTTTAATTCATGCTATTTAAATGTCAAATGAAGCATTTACAATTATACATTTTGTTCTTTGCTATTTTGTAAATCTAAAATCAAGTATTGAGAATTATATTTTTTCTTCCAATAACAAAGTCTCAGTGTGACACCTGTGACTGAACAGTATCTGCCAGTGTCTTGAAGTCTGGGTTGTAGTCTGAGATTGCTAGTCGTATACAGTCCATCAGATGGGCATCTGTGATCCTGCGCTCGGCCTGGGAAGCTTGTTCCAGCACAGCTAGAGCTAGACGCAGTCTCCCTGGGCTGCGCGCAGGGCAGCTGGGCTGGATGGAAGAGAAGTGGCTGCCCGGCCAGTTGGCCATGGCACTCAGCCAGGGTGCACCAAGCTCCATGTGAGCAGGCGCAGAGGAGAAGCTGCTGCGGGGCGGGAGGGAAGAGAAGCGGCTGCCCGGCCAGCTGGCCATGGCACTCAGCCAGGGTGCACCAAGCTCCACGTGGGCAGGCGCAAAGGAGAAGCTGCCAATCAGCTGGAGCACGGGGCAGCCTCTTTCAGCTGAAAGCCACAGTCATCTGGCTGGGGTGTTTCAGCCCTCCCGGCCTCCCAGCTTCCACCATTCCTCAACCTCCCAGCTCCCACCATTCCTCGCAGCTACTCACCTGTGTTGTTGCTCGGTGAGTAGCTGCTCCTCAAATGAGGAAATCTAATGTAAATGTACTGCGCAGGCGCGCAGTTCAGAGAGGGCTCAAGAGTTACTCTTAGAGCCCCTGAGATCTAACAGTAGATCGCGATCTACTGGTTGGTGACCACGGGCTTAAACATTTATTTTAATCCCTTATTCACCTCGGAGGCGCTGAGCGTGCTCAGGAGGGCTGCAGACAGCCCTGCACTTTGCCCTGCCCACTCTAGTTATATGTTTTTGCTTACTGCATTTTAAAGGTGTTTAAAATGTAAAAAGGGAACTAAAGACAGGACAGAGTCTCATAACATTTCTCTTGTCTTATTCCTAAAACAGAATTGCTTTCTTGTCTCTGCAACTCATATTCATTGTTTTGCTCTGTGCAAATGTAATGTCTTGTACGGTAATTACTATGTGCAATGCAACTCAAAGTCCTGCTACTTTGAAACAAATGTAAGTAAAAATCAAAAATCAAAGTAATCTTCACTGTAATCAAAACTACTTCAGTGAAAGTACAAAAGTATCATATCTTAATTGTACTTAAGTATTCAAAAGTAAAAATTAGTTGTCCTATGGAACCCTATGCTTAACCCGAGTTCTTGCAGGTCACCATTAATATAATATAATTCTATATTATATGTACACCTATACGGTACATTTTTCAATGATGGAATTTAACGATAGCCGTTGCCTTCATTTATAAAGATGAAGAGGGACCAAATTAAATACAAGTCAGATTACAGAAATGTATTTATTTTGTCCACATTCACATTGTGCATTTTTCCATTATAATTATTAATTTCCAAAATGTTTGTTCAACCATAGGAGCATTTTTTTTCAAATTTATCAATCCTTGCTCTTCTATGAAAAAATAGGAGTCCATCACATGGAAGAATCTCTCACAGGCAGCTGATGGAGACAGGTCTGTTGGCGCTGGTGCACAGCTCCCTAATTCTAGAAAAAGAGTGCAGCAGATCCATGGTCTCTCCTGAAGAGGTCAAGCTTCTTTGCAGTTTCATTTGTCTAAAATGACATAGTCTCTTACCTTTTTTAATCCAATGCTTGTTCCAAGTGGTCCTAACATTTGGCATCAAGATGTCAGCTGCTATTAGCTCCTGGTCCTCAATTATTTCACCAAAACATTTCTGAATGGTGCACTGGAGTCTATCTACCAGTGGCCTCAAGAGGGCATCTTGTTCCTTTGCAGTTTTGAAACCATCAAGTATAATTTAAACTTAAAAAACAACAAATGGTCTGGTAGCACTTTATAGACAACAAAACACATAGATGGGATCATGAGCTTTCGTGGGCACAGCCCACTTCTTCAGATGACTGGAGTTTTGAGTTTAGGCTGTACGGGCCTATTTATTTTGGCTCCACATGGCCTAAACTCAAAACTCCAATCATCTGAAGAAGTGGGCTGTGCCTACGAAAGCTTATGAAACCACATATATGTTTTGTTAATCTATAAAGTGCTACCAGACTGTCTGTTGTTTTTTTTAAGTTTATCCTGTACAGACTAACTCGGCTACCCCCTGAAGCTGGTATAATTTATGCAGCATCCATTCTATTAGTGTGCTTATCCGTGCTTGAAGAATATTTAGTGCCTTCAGCACTGGGCCCACAACCATGGCATATTCTGTCAATAAAACCAGCTCTGCTGGATTCAGTCTAACAGTCAATACGTAGTGTTAATAAAAATACAGAATGATCAGGGTTTGTTTTTTTAACAAAAAGAAAAGCATAAAGTGAAGAACTGCTTTTTACATACTAATTTGAAGTTCTGGGAACACATTTCTCATGGACCCTTCTCCTTGTCCATTCAGTATTCACCGAATTCTCTCAACAGCCATCAACACACAGTTCCATCTTTTCTGGCTTGGCCAAA